AAATATTCAAAGAAACAAAATAACCTAAGTGCTTTGTTCAGGTTTTGTAAGGTCTTTGCATCACTTGGGCAGTCCTGGTAAATTTACACTAAGACATACAAAACATGGTAAGCAGCTGCAATTAATTGTAGGTGCCTTAAAACAGGTACCAGAATCTAGAAAGGATTTAAAGTTAATTATTTGATTATTATACCCAGTGCTCTAACAGGTTTATCAAGTGCTTTACGTGGGAAAATTTTTTGGTCCGTGTTTTGTTGCAATTGTCCCCACCCTTTTAGGCAGACAAAGTGGGAAACCTGGCCATTGCAACACGTTAAGCTCCTATTTTGCCTTGATTTTTTTGTTTAATCTTCTCAAATAAAAATGTTGTCTTCAGTTGGATAGGTGTATGGAGAATAGATAAAGAGTGTTTTTTTTGTTTGCCTTGCAGATGGAAGAAATTTATTGTTTCTACCTAAAATGGCTTTTCTAAGAAGATTTCATATCAAATACGAAGGAAATATTTATGTGTCATAGCAGTTTATAGCTGCTCTTTTGTGCATAATGATATATAACAAGCACAGAATGCTTCAATGCAGATGAACACAGGAATTACAACTATTACTGAGATTTAATTCTGTGTAAAACTGCTTGTGTTTTGTTTTATTTATAGCAATTCTGTGTGCTTAGAGTTAATGTCTGAAATTATTCTCTGTACTTACATGTTACAGAAATGGCATTATAACATTAAATATGTGTTCAGTCTCAGGCCAGTAGGAAATCAGTTCTTTGGAGCTAGTGCTGATTAGTGCAATTTTTAGCAGCATTGCAGAACATGGCATTTCATTATTGAGTCATGCTAAACATTATCTTGGCTTTTGCTATAAAAATAGAAAAGAGGATAAAAAGAAGACAGTGAAGGATGCTTTTATGCATATGACATGCAGCCCTGGGGAAGATGCAAATCTGGGATGAAAACTAATTACTTCTTACTTTGTTGTGTAGCCTGAACTATGTGGAGCAGAGCTGACCCAAAGGAAAACTGTGCTTTATGTTAAGCAGTAGTGATTACTGCAGAAAGCTGCCATAAAAGCAGTGCCATTAAAGGGACACTTAAAAAAATGATCTTCAGACCTTATAGAACAGACCTTACTGCATTATAAATGTGTTTTGATGGGTCTTCTTTGATAGGTAGCTAGAGGAGAAAAGGATGATATAATGTAGCTAGTGGAATGGAAAAGCAATTATATTTCATCCGAAAGATAAAATTCACTGTACTTTCCACCTCAGAAGATTGCTAAATATGGCTATATGTAGTATAAGCAATTAAGCATGATAATATTGAAAAAAAGGTTTGTTTTTTTTTTTAAAACTCTCTCTGCTTGTCTTCAGAAAGAGAAAAGAATTATAACACCTAAATTGTGGGCATACACACTGTGCATTAAATCAGTTTTGTGTGAGCCTGCCTGCTCAAGGACAGTTTAAAGGACACGACTGAACAGGGCAGTCACCAGTGATTTTTCTCCTACAATAGGTATCTACATGTAACAGCTTTTTAGCCATTTAAGTTAATTGTCTTTGCAAAATATTTCCAATATGCACTTGGTAGCTCTTGAGTTCAAGTAACTTAGTTTTCCATACCTTTAGTATTGACATCTTTTTGAAATGTTAAGCTGAACTCAACCAAAATGGCCTTAAAAATACAGATACTGTGTAACAATTCTGTAAAATGAATATAACACAAAACAGTAATGTTGGAACTGAGAAAATAATCGTGTGTGTGGTGTCTGGAAACGTGTTTACTATTTCATTACAGACCACTGGAAAGGTAAATGCACAAGTTTTATACCAGTAACTTTATGATATAAATTGAAACGAACATGTTAGGGTTTCATCTTTTAAGCATATGTAATTTTTGATAATATAAAATAAATGAAATAACTGTATGTTTGTCATAGTTTAACTCCAGTCAGCAGCCAAGCCCCATGCTTGTTCGGTCCCACACCAGTGGGATGGGGGAGAAAACCAGAAGGGTAAAAGTGAGAGCACTTTTGGATTGATTTAATAGGGAAAGCAAAAGCCACCCACACAAGCTAAACAAGACCAGGAATGCATTCCCTGCTTCCCGTGGGCAGGCAGGTGCTCAGCCATCTCCAGGAGAGCAGGTCCCCATCACAGGTCATGGTGACTTGGGAAGACAAGCACTGGCACTCCAGATGGCCTCTCCCTTTCCTCCCTCTTTCCCCTTGGTTTCTATGCTGAGCAGGATGCCATGTGGTCTGGAATGTCCCTTTGGTCACTTGGGGTCCCCTGTCCCAGCTGTGCCTCCCAGGCACCCCCAGCCCCTCTCCAGTGTGGCTGTACAAGGAGCAGAAAGGGCCTTGGCTCAGTGCAAGCCCTGCTCAGCAATAACAAAACATCTCTGAATTATCAACCTGTGTGCAGCACAAACCCACAACACAGCCCCTACCAGCACTGTGCAGAAAAGTAACTGTACCCCAGCCAAAGCCAGCACAACATTACAGCTTTCTGTTGTTTATGGGAAGGCAGTATTTCATGTTTTATGCTGACAGGTGTTCCTGAGTTCCAGATGGCATTTCAGAATTATGTAGGTTGTCTAATCATCAATAAGGGGCTTATATGAAGAAGCAATTAATACCATGATTATTTTCCTTATGAGTCAGCAGGTGTGTCATATGCATAATTTCTAGTGTGTGGAAAATCAAAATGTCTTCTGCTCAGGTATATATTTTACAGAAAGAAGGATGCTGGAAAAAAGGCTTATGTTGATATGATTTATTCTGGGAGTATATTAAGAGTGTAATTTAAAAGGGATAGGATTTGACTGAGAGTCTTAAAAACTGTGAAAAAAAAAAAAGTGGAATATTAATACTCTTTGTAGCTGGGTTTTGCATTGTATTTCAAAAGGAAACAATCTTCCAGTTTTTTGAAAACACTGAACAAATACCAAGACAGGAAAATAAAGTAGCCGGGTATGAAAAAAATTAGGTTAAAAAAAGGATCAAAATTTTTTTTGTAGTTTTCCATGTAAAATAAGAATTTTTCTATTATCCATTTTGACTTGTCTACTCAAAATATATTAGGTACAGTTGTCATACTAGTGATCACTGAACCTACCAAGGGAAAGACAGTGAGACATACTCTTTGCAAGTATTTTTTACTTCCCCTTTGTCCTAATTGCCTTTTTCCTAATGTATATTTATTGTTTACTATATATTTACTAATATTTTATTTGCCATAGTGATCAACACAGATGATCTTTAGTAAATGTTTGCCCAGTATTCAAGTTGTTTTTGTGATGTATGCAAGTGTCTTTTATGAGAATATATTGATTTTCCTCTTGCAGTAAATACATATAATACTTGTATAGATAACTTCAGATCAAAGATTGACACCTGGACTTCTGTCTACCTTGTTGTCATCCAGAAGATGTGGAATATGTCCTAATTCCATCATCTAGAAATGTATTGAAGTTCTACAAGAGTATGTGTCTACATTAGAGATACATATTTAAAGAGGTTTGTCATGTGAGATCCACCTTTGAAAGTAGTTAATTTCCTTTTTCTCTCCACCCAGTCATCTACAATGTGATGAAAGCATAGTCAGTAACAAAAAAGACACAAAAACATCTGTCATAAAATGATGCTTCTCAGCTTTTCTAAAAGTGTATTTTTTCATCAACTAAGTTCTGAGATGTGGAAGGGCAGTGCACAATTCTGGGAGGTGGCAGGTCAACCTGTTCTGAATTGTAGTTAGGGCTGTATCATAGCTAAAGAGAGTGACTTTGGGAAGATTTCCAGGAGGTCATTTTTATACTGGAATATCCTGACATTTATTGGAATATCCTGTATGCTGACATTTATCAATACACAGGTGGAAAGGGCACTTAAGGCATTTGGTTTTGATTTCTGAGTCTTGGGGCTTTTTATTCTTTCTAACCAATACACTTAAAATTCCTGGCAACAGCTGTAGTCTCACTTTATATTTTGAAAAGCAGGTTTATCTAAGGCTTGAAAATCCATACTCCAGGACTAATGGAGACCTTCTTCCTTTGTGATTACTTATCAAAAAGTAATGTTTTTGAAAGTGGTTTATTTCCTTTTATTTTGTTCAACTTCAAATACATATTTTCAGTGCAGTGTGGTTGCAAATGTAAAGCATGCAGAAGATGACTCTATTTTCTGGTTTTCTGTACTTGCCACTCTGTTTGAACTTCTAGTATGTAGAGACAAATATAGTCATAACTGTATTTATAAGACTTTCATTAAATAGATGTTTTCTGTGAAATATGTACAGCTGCTGCTGCTGCTGCTGCATGTTGAAGGTCATTCCAGCATTCATTTGGAAAATGTAAGACATGAAAAAAAATCATGGACCGAGTAGGGTTGCTGGGCCCTAGTCTCTAAGGAACTTGTGGTTTCCATGTAAAATGCTTTGGCATATTCTTGCTATTTTATCTCAGATACATTATTTCCTCTACTGTGTGTTTACTAGTATTTTATTACTGTAGGGAAATAAATTTTAGATCAATTATTGTGTGATGACTATGTAAAACCATAAGATATTAACAAATATTACAAAAAAGAGAGTGAAGAAATGTTATATTGTTTATGAAAAGTTTATTACACTCTGATTATAGCTTCACTGAAATATGATTCCACTGGCTTCTCCAGCATTGCTCTTAAATTAGGCTGGCAGAAAAAAAACCCCTACATTTATTCTTATGCATCTTTGTTGAAGTTGTGCAATGTAAAACTATTGCAAGGTATTAATATAAATTGGTTTGATGTAAAAAAAGAGAAAGTTTATGCTTTAATGTTTTTTATCAATTTCTTATTTCCTATCATTATGTATTCACATGGGTAAAATTTCTTAAATTGAATGACTTGCCACTTCTGTAGTGCCTTACAGCTCTGAAATGCTGCGTGAAAATTTATTTTGGCACAGAGCAGCCCAGTGAGGAAGGTAGATGAGTAAGTATTATTATCCCTATTTTACAGATGGGGAAGCTGAGGCACAGAGATTAAGTGACTTTTCCAAGGCCACACAGCAAGTCAGTGGCAGATCCAGGATTAGCGCTCGGGGACTTCCTGGATCCCTCTTCCATGCTTTAAGCAGTAGAGCACAGTGTTCACTGGACTCAGCAAGCAACTCATTGCAGTAATGGACAGTTCCAAGGACTTGCACATGGTCAGTGTGTCCACACCTTTGTTTGCAGGTTGCTGCAGTATGTCTGTATGGTTTCACTACTCCAGTCCTTGCAGATTTGTGCCCTATGTAAAATTTTGTACCTTCATCATCTTCAAATGGTCTGAAAGGAAGAAGTGGTAGAATTCTGACATAAACGTGGCATGACAACTAAGAGCTTTTAGTTTTCATGCCTTATTCTGAACCTTGTGAAACTGATGGGCCAAACTGCAGATTGGCCCAAGATTCATGGCTTTGAGGATGTTAGTGTGGAGTTTGGTTGGCATGAATTCTGTCTTTGATGACTGTATTATGGTTAGTCTTGCCTATACTTTCAGTTTCAAACTCATGTATTGCAGCACTTAAAAATAATAAGTTAGTAGTTTTCCTGAAATTCTAATAAAAAGCAGAGCCTTACTAATTGAAATTAGGTTTCCAGTCTCTATTAATCAAGGGGAGAGTGGAGTGGGATCTGTTTTTATTTGTATTGCAATAGTCCACACTGGCCCATGAGTTCAAGCACTGAACTTCTAGTGAACTTTTGTCTCAACTCTCCCCTCCTTCAAGGGGGCAGTACAGGAATCAGAAATTGCTTCTAGAGTAAATGCAGTACAACTCTTGTACTGGTAAATGTGAGGTGGCTTTTATGTTGCTCCCTGGGAAGTCAGCATGCTCAGTGCCAGGCCTGTTTAATTGGACTTTGCTCAGAATTTGACAAGTGAATTGCTAACAACACAGCACTCCCAATTAAGCTGTTTTTCCCTGTAATATTAATGAAATAAACCCACTTCTGAGAATGAGGCAAGGCTGAGACTTGCTGTGACATTACAGGAAGAGGAGGCAGAGAAGTAAAAGTCTGCCAGAAGCTGAAAATTGAACACATGGGAAAGGAGAAGTCAAAGTGTATGAGCATATTTTGATAAATATTAATGAATTAATTTGTATTTAATTTACTTAGATACTCTCTAAAGGCTTTAAACTGCCCAGCAATTTAGTATTTTCCCCACTGCAAATTCTCCCTAACTTTGCTTCCTTTCTGATGCAAATGTCTTATGGTAGAATAGCCTTATTTATTATATGGCTGTAATACTTGGCCTTTGACATCCTGCCTAATCATTCACCCAGGGGCATGGCATTGTTATGTCTAACTGCTTTATAATAATGGATTCATTTTTGTAAAATTATCAACTGGTTTATGCAAAGTTATACTTTCCTGGTGCATCTTAATGGGCTATTAGCTAATTCTAAATTATGAAAAGACAAAACAGTTTCAATAGAAGCCCATTTCTTATTGTCATATTTTAGTTATGCACTATTATCTGTGGGAAAGCTCTAATAAAGACATTTTAACACTTGGTCTTTCTTTCTTTAACAGCCCAGATGCTTGGTGCTGACACACTCGTAGGATTTTTCTATGTAAGCTAGCTACAGCATGACAGCTATTTTTAAAAAAGAAAGGAGCCTGAAACAAAGCTTACATTCAGAATGCACCACAGCCAGCTATATAAGTCAATCTTTTTGCCTGAGGCATCTGATCTTTAAGGACAGGTGCTCAAAGACTTTCATTTCTCATTCTTTTTCATTGCATTCTATATATAGATGTATATCATGCAACTCTGGTATTTAAATCCCCTTGTTTCAGACTTGCTTTAAGATACCAATTTTGCCTATTGAAATCAAGTAGTTCTACTTCTAATATAATTTGCTAAAACCCCTCTATTAAAAACAAGTAAATATATTAATTGGTACTTTTTTAAAATGCATCAGTTTTCATAATAATTTAATGGAAATTGCTCTTTCATATTGTGAAATATAGTCTGTATTTAGAAGCTGGATTTTTTCAGAAGTGATGTCAAACTCATAGTGAACCATTTTAGCACAGCATCTAGTGTAAAGAAAAGGCTTTGCAATTCACTAGTAAGTGAAGCCAGTTGTTTTCATGGTGTTAGTTTTATTTTACTGAGTGTTATTGTCTAGCTTTGCCAAAGTAAAAGGAGTCTTAGTAGTAATAGTTAGGGAATTCTGCATGTAGCTCAAGATCCTGGTCTCAAGACAAAAATACATGTGCAACCCCTTTCTTAAGGTGCACAAGAATAAAGCTGCCTTGATCAGACATTTCTTCTTTCATCTCTTTCATTGTCCTACTGGCTCATGTTTTTCTTGGTTTCCAGTAACCAGTGTTTACTTACTATCTTGCAGGTTTTACCAGAAGTTTTGCACATCAAAGTTAGCTGTTATCATACCTCAAGTAAAAACTGATGCATAAGAAATAGATTTAATAAGTAAAATTAAATTATTAAACCCCTTTTTGTTCTTGAGTTGGAAAAGTTAATAATGAAATATTAAAACCATCTTTGTTTTATAGTTCTGTACAATCTTGCCAGTAGTTTCCAAATGAAAAGTGGATTATCTGTCCTTTTTTCTGTTTTGTAGAGAAATGATGAAGAGGCTGTTGTGGATAGAGGTGGAACTCGATCCATTCTCAAGACACATTTTGAAAAGGAAGATCTAGAAGGTGAAGGATGATTTTTCTGTGCTTTATATTGTCACTTTCTTCTGAAAGTACTGAAATGTAATTCCAATGTGTAAACTTATTGATTTGAGCAGGGATGCAAAGAGACAAGAGAGTAGAATCTTGTGATTTATTTTAAAAAGAGAAATACTGTTTTCACTCACATCAGTGTCCAGAAATGGATGATGGTGGAAGGAGTTTGCTAGTTTTTGGTGATCTATGGTCAAGTCCTGTGAATATGCACGTGTGACTTTAGATAAGTCTTTTAAGCTTTTGGGTATGCAATTGCAAGCAGGACTGCTGATTTTTTACTTATAAAGGCTTCTACATTTGCATTACAATCCTCATGTGGCTGCCTAGCCACATCTTCAGCTGAACCAAAAGATTCTGGAGTGTCAGAGATTGGATACATATTTACTGATATCTACTGCAGAAACCACCTAAGTTTATCATGTAGAAGAAACGGAGAAATTATGAGAACTCTTTAGATATTGGTCTAATGAGTCAATTGCATTTCTGTTTGTTTAGTGTATCCCAAATTTTGCTTACTACTGTATTTTGTATATATTATACTAATTCTTGTATTGAGTTGTGTGAACTCCCAAGTCATAGTTATGATGAAAATGAGTTTCTGTTGCACATATGATATCCCTTTGCTGAGACTGGAACTGGCTGATTTTGTTAGCTTCTTGTAGTGGGACATGGAGATTCCTGTCATTGTCACACATGAACTAGCCCAAAAGAAATACTAAGATCAGCATGCTCTGTCTGGAAAGTTCCCTGCTTCAGTTCTAAAGAGAGCTATCTCTATCTGTGCAGGAACTAGAGTTTTCTAAATGGCTACCATTGATTACTTCATAATTTTTTTTCTTTTTTTTTTTTTTTTTTCTGTCTGTATGAACTTTGTATTCTCTGATACACATTGGCCATATTGATGATTTCATTGAAATAACAGTGTTACACTGCAACTCTCTGTCACTGCTTCCTTCAGCCGTGCCTCTCTCAAAAAGCAGATGTAGCTGCATTTGAGAGGGGCTGGCTGTGTCTGTGTGAGGTTGTCTCTGACAGAAGGATGTCAGATGTTGTGCAGTGTGGCATGTATGAGGTAGGTAGCTCTCTACTCAGCCTGGGGGAGGTCTGGGTGTGTGCAAGAATAGATCTCAGGTAAGATGTTTCAGGGTAGCACTTAGAGTTTTGGTGTCTCCAGGCGTGAGAGTACCAGTGGGTCAGGCTGCAATGCCAGTTTTGGGCATAGGCACAAAACCTCCTGTCTTAAATCTCACATTTAATCTGTGGTCTTCATTCCCTTGATTGCATCCTTGATAAAAGAGAAACCACTGTATCTGGTGTCCTCAGAGAAACACCCAATAAAATAATGGGTGCTCCCTGTCTCCCTTTCTCCATGGTACTGACTCAAAAAGATTTTGTGGGGTGAGTCAACCCACAAAAATATCCTTTTGCTGAGTCATTTTATTGATGATAGTAAGGTAGCATTTTAAAGATGTACAGCTTTCTGCAGAATGACATTTTTATGCTCGGTCATATAAGCTTAAGTCACATTAAGGTTGTCAGAATTACTGTGATGTTCCACATGTGACTATATGGAACATAATTTAAGAACGGTATTTAATTATTTTTTTCCCCACCATCCTGTATGTATAGAGTTGTTCTTGTGAAGTATCAGGGAAAAATTTTATTCAAAGATATGCTCTTAGGATGTTAACAGTAGAAATTGGAACATGGCAGTGACACTCCCACAATCTTCCCATCAATTTAAGTTGAATTAAATTTAGAATATAGAAAAATTCTGCAGTTATCAAATGAATCTGCTTTTATTAAAAATAAAACTCCATTGTTTCATAATGTTCTAAGAAAACAATTTTTTTCTTAGTGTAGAATCAGTCCTTCATGATGCAGTTAGCTTTCTCAGATAATTTCATGCTCACTCTAAGTTCAGATCAGTTTGTCTTTAAATATATAATCATATATTTAAAAAGACCAAGTAACAGAATAAGTTTTGAAGACAGTGCAGATTTTAATATCCATTTGCTGTTAATAGCATGCCCATTTGTTTTGCAGTACATTTAAGCACTTCTCTCCCCAGAAATAGAGAACGTGACTCACAAATATGTCTTACTCACTGACGTTGTGTTGGGTTCTGCTGAAAAATGTACCTTTTTCCTAATGACTTAACAACTATGAAATATGAAATTAAATAATCAGGTGCTAATTGCATATCTTAGAAAAAGAGTATTACCAGACTATTAATATGTATTACATAATTAGCTTTTGACAGACATTTAATTGGTTTATGTTTTAAAAATGTAAATAGCTAGTTACTGAATATTCTAGGGAAGAATAGCTTTGCCAGGATGTAAGTTTTAATGGCACCATGGCAGCAACATTTCAAAAATTCAAGTTCATATGAAGAGCTACAGGTTTAAATCTGAAAATCAGTATTCAACTTCTTATTAAATCTTACAATTGTAAGTATTTTGTCTTTTTTTTTTTAAGTTTAGACTATCAACATTCAAACTTCAGAAATACAAATTTAAATGTGTACTAAAACTTCCATCTGAAATTTCAAATTTCAAATATTTGGACTTGCATATTTTAGGCAGTCATTGTGCAATATATTACAAGCACATTTATTGCTGAAAGCATGAAGATATGGTGATTAAATCTGCCTCGAATAATGGACACAAGAATAGATTTTTGCCTCAGTCTCTCTAGATCAGTATTTTCTTTCCATGAGGAGTATAGTAAAACCTTGGGAACATAAGATAGGAACTGCTGTACCTATGGGAACAGAAGAGATGTGGTGCTCATCTTAGTGCCAGTAATGATACCAGCAGTAAGTGCTTCAAATTGTATCTTTTTACTTAAGTTTTGTAGTGCTTTAGAGGTGAATTGTTTGCAGAGGTTTGGCACTCAGATTTTCAGCACGAATTATTTTTCCACATATTAATTTTATGTGAGTTGTAAGGTCAGGATCAGTCACTGATATTGAATAGGGTAATTTGCCTGACTATTGCATTGATGGAAGGACTGAGAAAGCATTTCTAAAAGCAAAAAAAGAGATGATATTCCCTGGTTATAATCATCTGTATCACATGTGATCTTTGAATGTGTGTGCTGACAAAAATCCTACTCAGATAAATATGCTGTCATTTTTATCAGCGGTGGAATTCCTAAATGAGAATTGGGCACTGATTCTGGGTGCTCAAGTGTTTAATTGCAAAATGACAGGTTGTGCCTGTACCTGTACCGAGGGCAGCTGGGCACGTGTTCATGGGCAGATGTGCAATTCAGCAGCTGCTCTCGGCTCATTCCGTGGGGCTGCCTCTGGCTGGCTGCCATTGCTCCAACGTGTTCAGTAAGAACAGCTTCTGATCACATGGATCTACCTGCTGTTTATCTCACAGGTCAGAAATTCGGGGATTGCTCCGGGCTGGAGATCTCAGATTCTCTCAGGTCACATGCTGACTTTTGGACTATGCAGATATGCAAGGGGATGGACACTAAATACACTGTGACCAAGGTCTTTTCCTTATGCCCACTGTGTTAGCTGAGGGGAAAAGTGACCGATCCATGGACTCCTTGCTGGAGGTGCTCGACTGCAGATTGAGGATTTTTGTGAGAGTGTTTCAGAACTGCTGTGGTATTACATGGTTTGAGAACTAGCTTCAAAAGGGAGATGGCTGGAGATCAGATTGCTAGGTGAAGGTCCCAGCATGAATCAGAGATGAATTCTGGCGCTGTTGGAGAAAATGGCAAAATGATCCTTGATTCGGGGAAGTCAAGATTTTGCTTAAGCTTTTTATGTTTCATTCATTTTAATCTGCCTAAGTGGCATGGGAAAATTTGCCTCAGGGGAAATCAAGTTTGCCATGTTTCATATCTCTGAGGACACATGAAACACTGTATCTGGTATATGCATGACTGTAGATCAGAATATGTCTCCTGACACTTTTTACAAAATTCAGATTGTGTGGATTGCTTACTAAAAGTCACAAAAAACCTTCAAGCTTAATTAGAATGTAAATATAGTAGCAGAACACAGAATAATACAGAAGCTGAGACTTTAAACTTAATAAACCAAAAATCAATTATAAATCTTGTAGAGATATTTTGTAATTAATAATCTGCATGAAGAATAATTTTGATAGTAGGTGCTGAGCAAAAAAGGTAAAACTCCAGAGTATTTAATTATCCTCTTTTAAAAATGGTTATTTTAGTTAACTTTTTTCTTTTTAGATTTGTTCTAGCTTGTGACAATAATTTAAAAATTATTTTAATGAAATTTTGATTTTATACTGTTAGGGTTAATAGATGAAAAACCTCATTGTGATTAAATGTCACACTCCATATATTATAACTTAGTAGAAATTTGAGTGGCTAAAGTGTTTTAAGTAGCCTTTTATTCTCTAAAAGACAGGACCTTTTTTGTAGAAATAAGATCATAGCACACCTGTCTTCCACTGACATTATTTACCTGAAAATTAATAGGACCTAGCAGCTCATAGGACTGAAAGAATATAAATTTTAATAACCTGGCCTTGATTCACCTGTACCTCAATGTACAAACAAGTCAGACACAGGCTCTGCTTGGTCAGAGAGGAGCGTCAACCAAGATTTCCCTTCCCTTTGGCTCCCAGGATGCTGCAGCCTACTGCAAATGATTTATTGCCATGTCAGTACAGACCCCTGCTCCAAGCTTCCTTGCCTGTGCTTCCCTGGGGTGCCCTGCTCATCCTGACGGTGACTCTGACCTCGCTTGTGCTCCTTGCAGCAATGTTCTCTGTGCTTCCATGGGAAAAAAAAAGAACAACAAAACACCTGAGGAAGCAGAGTCCAGACTGATTTGGCTTAGTCTGTACCTGAAAGGTTGCTCTTTCATTTTGTTGCCTACCAGGTATCACATACGCAGGTTTGTTCCATTTGTGATTCATAAGGCACATATGTCTGTAGTGCCCCTCATCTAGGTTTTTTTTTCTTGTGTA